TAAGGATGCCCTCTATATTTTTAGAAAACTTCCACTAGAACGTTTCTTCTTAAATTTTAAAATATTATTTTTAAATAAGCAAAATTCTTCCTGATCCCTAATTTTTTACTACAGTGATAATTTCTGCCCAGCACCTGTATCCCCAGCTACTCAGAAAGCCCATGCCAGAGGACTGCTAGAGCTCAGGAGTTCCTGGCCAGTCTAAGTAGCTGGGTAACAGCAAAGGGAGGGGGACCTGTGTCCACATGGTTTACATGAGTTGTCAATAGAAAATCTGCCTTTCTAAATTTTTATCACAACTTCCTTAGAAATCTAAACAGTAACAGTTTAAATCCACAATTAAAGAGCTTTAGTTTTATTAATCTGAATTAACATTACTACTTCTTGAAAATGTTTGAAATCTGAGTCACTTTTTAGACAAATGAATTGGTTCACATTTCATAACATGACTTTGTTTGAAAGGATGCTTTAAAACCTTACCTGCCAGGAAGGCCACATTCTACTAATTTACTTTTAATGTTCCTTTTATAATCCGTCATTCTTGGAAATGTAGCCATTGTTGAAAGAGTCAAAATTGACAAGACTATGTCAGATGTTAAGGCATTTTTCAGTATTTTAGACCAACTCAATAGTCATCCTTTAGAAATCAATGTTTCTACATTTGATCTTAGCCAAAAAGCTAAGAAGAGATAAAAATCAATGTTTCTAATTTTTTTTTATTTTTTTTTTTTTTTTTTTTTTTTTTTTTTTTTTTTTTTTTTTTCACCAGAGATCAAACTCAGGACCTTGCACTTGCCAGACAGGTGCTTATGCCACCGAGCTATCTCTCCGGCAGATTTTTGACTTTTTGAGACAGGGTCTCTCTATGTGTTTTAAGCAGGCCTTCAGATCCCTTTGTATCCCAGGCTGGTCTCAAACTCACAATGACCCTCCTGGCTCAGCCTCCCAAGTTCTGGAATTACAGGTGTCTGCCACCATGCCCGGCAATGTTCCTAATATTAACCTTTGCTTCTTTGCAAACACAATAATGTGGAGGCCAGGGATATAGCTCAGTGGCACACTGCCTGCCTGGCCAGCAAAGTCTTCAGTTTGACTCCCAGTACAAAATAGTAATAATAATGTACACCATATACGGTTCCATCTGCAGAGCTTGGAGAAGGGAAATGGATGAGCAATGAGGAAATGCTGCTTCAGACAGTAAACAAAACACTATCCTTTGTGTAAACACCTTGGAAAGATTTTTATTTTACTGAAGTCTTGATTTGCCTCCCATTTTCATGTTAATCTGTTTATCTCTTCAGGGAGTGAGCTGTGTCAAATCGGAATTATTCCCTCTGCTACTGCTTTACCTCTTTTGAAGTATCGACCTATTTTAGTTGCTCTGCTTACTTAATACCATACATGCTTCCTCTCCGAGTGCTCAGCTAGTATCAGAAGTGAGGGGGGCTGTCTTCAAGGGTGTCCAACTCAGAAAGAAAGTGAAACAACTCACCCACACGTGATTTGTAAATCTTCTACAAGAAAAATGTCTTGTAGCTCTTCAGTCTTCCAAAATGATCATAGGACACAATCTTATAGATCTGGTATGTGTAACCTTCCTCATGATTGGAAGACAGTTTACAAAATCACATCTTTCAAATATGTATTACCTACCCTGCACCAGACAATTGGCATTGGGGCAAATGCAAAGATCTGAGACGTGGTTTCTGCAGTTCCCAAGGACATTTAAAAACAACTAACATGCAGCAGAAAATTACAAGTACCCCAAGAGCTGTAACTTCAGGAGAGATCACATCCAGCTGCAGCTGGAGCTAGAAGAGGGCAGAGCTCAGCGGTAACTTCATGAAGGATTTGCACAGAAAAGACAAGGCAGAAGCTCTTGCTTGAAGTAAACACACACACACACACACACACACACACACACACACACACACGAGCGCTAAGTTACAAAGAATCTTACAACTTTTCTGAGGCATAGAACACACTGCCTAAAAAGGAGCTTCAGCATTAGCTAAAAGCAAAATACTCCATAGCCAAACATCCTCCACCTAATGCATCACATCAATATTTTCACCTCAAGTCAGTCATTCGGTCTAATCACATAAATTTAGGTACAAAGAAAATTTATAAACTGGAGTAAAACTACTAACTTGCGTTGGGAAATATACAACCACATACTCAAACACACGAAGGGAATCTTTTTGTTTCTTAGTAACAGTTAAGGTCTGGGAAAAATATTAAACTTTAGCTTTCTTCATTTACAAAAACTACAAATTCCTTTTAGGCCTGACAGGGTAATTCTACAGGGTGACTTGGCGGCACTCGGCCCCCAAATCCTCAAGCACAGCAATGCCGTGGCTGGCCAGCCAGCCAGCTCCCTTCCTGCACCTCAGAAGCCACACACTTGAGCTCGGTAAGACTCCACACAAATCACTGGCCATTGGCCAAGAGATTCCGCCACAGTGGACACTCCCAAGGTTCAGGGTTTTCTTAATTCTAATTCAGCCATTAAATAGCATTTACTTTAACAGGCTATATCAATGTAGAACCAATTACATCCTAATTTAGTTAGTAAAAGAATTTCCCTAAAATGTAAAATGTGAGCCATTAAAGTATGTAATTTATACTTTAAAGGACCCCTACAAATATAATTCTAGTCCAGTAAGAAAATCTTTAAAATTTACTCAAAGAGCTGGTTTTCTCTGAATCTTACCAACAGCAAGATAATCCACTACAGACTTGTTACAGCACACGGAGAATTAACTGCGCTTGCAAAGCTCTCCATCCATGCACATTGCTAAATGAAAATCAACAGTGAATGTTTTCAGCATCTAGCATGAATAAGCTGACATGACCTATGACTACGACAGGGTGATACTTCAAGAATGATCTGCATTTCTGTGGTCATGAAGCAAACGTACTTATGAATGTGCAGAAACACACGGGGCTGCAGCTACCTCATCCTAGTATGTCACCTTCCTTCGGGAACAGGGGAAACACTAAGGAAAACAGCCTGCATTGCTCTGGTAGAAGGTGCTCTACAGCAGCAAATCACAAGGGACTGGGCACTCGCCCTTGTATGAAAACCTTGGGAAGATCTTCCTGTTTACCAGAACCTTCACCTGCCTCCATGGTGGTGGTTCTCTGTCTAGATGCCTTCTACACGAAGATCACAGAAGAGCTGTCCTAAGTGACCAAACCTTTCAAGATGTTTAATCAACAGCCAAAATTTAACAATGCTAACAAAGGCCGGGGACACGACTCAGTGGAATAAGCGCTTCCCTGGCAAGCGCAAGGGCCTGAGTTCAATCCCCGGTTCTGAAAAAAAAAAAAAAAAAAACAATGCTAACCATACAACAATTTTAAAAACCTAGAAAACCACTGATCTCTTTTTCTTCCTTTTGACGGGCACCTTTCTCATTAATCAACAAAGGGGCTAGATAGAAAAGGCTTAGCATACACTTAAGTGGAAAGAACAACTCAAACCAGGACTTAAATCTCCATCTCCGTCTAGAAGTGTCTTCATATGACATTCAAGAAAAATATAGTTACATTCTCTTAATGAATAGAGTGATTTGTTCTAATGGTGTTTGTAAATAGGATATCATGTCTGCATCTTGTACAGCAATTAACCACTCAGAAGAGTGTATGCAATGTGTTATTACTGAAACTGTCCTACCAATTTGATTTGAAACTGTCTCATTGCTATTTGTTTTTCAATAAAATTATGGGGAAAAAAAAAGACCCAAAGTCAAGAAAAAAAAAATTAAAAATCCAGAATTTTAATTAGGTTATTTATAAATATACCAAATACAAAAAAAAAAGAAAGAAAGAAAGAAAGAAAGAAAGAAAGAAAGAAAGAAAGAAAAAAAGAAAGAAAGAAAGGAAAAATGGCTCTAGACATATTCTTTAAATGGCTTGTTTCAAGGGCCGGTGTGATAGCTCAGCGGACTAGGCGCCTGCTTAGGCAAGTCCAAGGACCTGGGTTCAATTCCAGGTACCACTTGTCACACTGGCAACACCCCTGGGCACACTGAGCTAGCTACCGAATCCAGGTGTGGTGGTGCACGCCTGCAATCCCAGCTCTGGAGAGGCTGAAAACAGGAGGATCACTATGAATCTCAGCTGCAGAGTGAGATCCTGTACCTAATACATTAAAAAAAAAAAAAAAGGCTTATTTCCCTTCAATGTCAACAATACTTAGAATTTTGGGTAAACTCATGAAAATAAAAACTGCTCATCATAATTTTTTGGTTTAGATAATAAATATGCTTCCTTCACACCAAAATTACAATTGCAAATTACACTTCTTATACATATCAAATTGATAAAAATTATTAACCATCACTTGTAACATAACTCATTCTAAGTGGTCACAGAAGTAGGCCCATCATCATAGGCCTATCATCCGTATGAAATGGACATGAATACTATACTACAAAAAATAGGGCTCCTAACCTCTTTTTAAGGGATGAGATACTTAGACTGAAATATACAAAATTCTTAACATTTCTTCAGGGAATAGAAGAGAACAGAACTGCCATGAGACAATAAAGAATGTCACAACAATCTTTCAGACGAAGTTAAAGTTCACAATATTACATAACAAAATGTTAGCTGGACAGTAAAGATATGATTGGTTGCTTGGGTACCACAGATTGCTATTATATTATTTTTCAATTTTAAAAAATACCGTGAGAAACAAATCTATGGTGAACAACAGTTAAAAAAAAACCCAAAACACCCAGACTTTTCACTACCATGAAGCCTACTGAGATGGAGAAGGAGCAAGGGCTGAAAGAGAAGAGGAGGCCTAGAAGTGGAAAGGAACCCAGAGGAAGCGTGAGGAAGGGCGGGCACCCGGGTGGCCCCAAGCCCTGCGAATCCTAACGGCAGGACAAGGAAGTGGCGGCGGCGGCGGCTGCCTGAAGGGTGAAGACGAGAAGATGAACGCACTCCTGCTCACACACAGAAACACTTCCGGAAGGCAACGTACTCACCAGTATGTGCTGTAGCTACTGCAATCCATACACACGGTATGCTGAGGCTTATCTTGCTTTTCTGATTTCTTATGGTTCGTTAAGGGGATTTGTGCCTCTTCATAATGTTTTTTGGCATGGCCGTTTACATACCTTACGAAAACCAAATGAAAATTTACTTATTTAGAAATTAAAGTAGTACGAGGTAATATAATTAAGTGTTAAATTAAATGAGAAAGAACTACAAGGACATTTAGTTAGTGATTTATTAAGCTACCTACTTACAATATACTCCTTTTTGCAATTAAATAAGACCACTTTTAATTATATTCTAGACTAGGGCCAGGAAAGGCAAGGCATTACCTATGCAAATCGACTGCAATGTAGTCGATATTACCATTTATAAACAGCTATACTAATGTTTTTGCTATAGCCTTTTTCTAACTACCAACCTGACATATTACCAAATAGAAGCTCTGTAAATTAAATCACTTAGCCACTTTCCACAGGACCATAGGCTCTGCTTGGGTTACTACTTAATTTAAAACATGAAAGATTTGGAAACACGATAATTGCTAATCTCTCTTATCTTTTATTGGAATGCCTGAATAATCAGTTACACTCATGGAAACACATTTGCTTAGAAACAATTCAGATAAAGCACAGATTATTTTAAGATTAAAAAAATCTTACTTCTATATATAGACAAATATCTTAAGATTTTAAAAAGCAAAAAAAAAAAGATTTTAAAAAGCATTTCTCTACACAAATATAATTAAAGTTTAATTATGCTCACAGAAATTTTGTAACACTTTCCAACTCAGATTTAATAAAACATTTTTTTGCAGTACCAGGGGTTGAATATAAAACACTTTTTATATCAAGAAAAAGAAAGCAAATTAAAGATTCATAAACACACAGTGTGCACCCAAATTCATGGACACCTTGACTTAAAGACTGCCCGTTACCATCACTGCCCACTGCCATGAAGACCCTCACGACACAAAGCTTCCCCGCTCCCTGAATACAACCAGTGGTAGAAGTCAAGGCCTATCTGAAAACTCAAACTGCCAAAACAAATGTTGGTTAAACATTTGTTTAATTAACAAAGAACAAGTTGAGAGGGTTGAGATGACATTTTCACCATGAGCCACGGTAACTGTACCTCATGGAAAGATGCTTACCTTTGGAAAAGTAACATGGGTGCAGGAGAGCCAGCAAGGTGTGGTAAGGAGGAGGATCCACACCAACCTCAGCCCTACACCCTTGGGAGAACTGGTCTCTCTGAGGCTTTATTAACTTCACATCAAAAACTTAACCTAGTTCTCTCCTATTTTGTCAGTGTGCTTTAAAGAGAACTAACAACTGGGTACTCAAGTCCTCTGTCCTCAAATGTAGAAGATAATGGATTTTAAAGTAAAATAATAATTAAGAGCATACGTAAACAACAAGACTGCCTCAGCTCAAAAGTGGGCTTTGCCACACCCGGGCCTCACAGCCTGAATGAACTGCTTGACCTTTCCCGCCTGCAGCTGGAGAAGCTAGCGCAGTGCAGGGCCATGTCTCACCATGTCTCAAGGTTATCAGATGATTACGCATGCTCAAAACAAATGAATGCAATTATTTTAGTAGCATCTTCCTTTATATACTTATTTAGGGTTAGGGTTTGTGTCTAGTTGTCTCCTCAAAGCTTCATGCAGTCACTGGGGCGGCTTCTAGAGCTTGTGATTAATTCATGATCCAATGCTGGGATTATGAACGTGAGTGCTGCGCCCGCCCTGGGGTGGGTAATCTGCACACAATGTGGGGAAGGGAGAGAGGCTTGCTAGCAGCACAGCGGCTGCCCCTCCTTACCTCTTGCTGTTTTCTACTGCCATGAGCTGCTGCCCTCTGCCATGTGCCACTCTGCCTTGGAGCCAGCCAAGCATGGACTGAAACCTCCACTAACTGTGAGCTAAATAAACCTTTCCTTCCTCAATTTTGGGTGTTGAGTATTTTGTCCCAGCATCGAGAGAAGAGCAACTGAGACAGTCAGAATCCAAACATAAATAGGCACAGTAACCATGTATTCTAAAATAACACGTCAGGTCAGAAAGTACTATTTAACTAAAAAGGTAAACTGTATGACATCACATAGGTGCAATATCTAATTATTTTCTGTTTGTGTAAACTATTTGTATTACATACCATAAAAAGTAATAGCAATCTTTATAAGGAAGTGCCTCAAATCAAAGGAAGTGTAATACAGAATAGTAACGAATGGCTTTACCACTTCAAGTATGTGAAAACTGGTCATTTGCACAAAATATATATATATAGTTCACTTACAATACTGCAGCCTCCCAGTGCATTGTATGTTTCGATGGTTCCCAGCACTGTCAGTGACAAGGTTAACAGGGCTTTGGCTAATACTCACATACACTGGTCAGACAGCACCAGCTCTGTATAAACTAGGCTATGCAAAAAGAAATGGCTCCTCCATCTAATTCTGGATCTTAACCATGGTAGACATTTTGGTCTATAGCACAGGAGGAAAAATTTCATCATATATGCAGCAGAGTCTAACAATCTCAAAAACTTAAAAGTTACTTAAATAAATCAGTATTATGAAGACCATCAAAATAACTCAAATAGGCTACTGATAATCTATGTTCCTTAGCTAAAAAAAATTATTTAATTTATGGGGGGGAGGGCTATAGCTCAGCAACACAGCATCTGCCTGCCAAGGTCCTGTGTTAGATGCCCAGCACAAATAAATACATAAAGTTCAATTTAAGACTTATTGGTTAGGGTCGGCCAAATAGCTCAGCAGATTAAAGCACCTGCAAGCAGGAGCAGGGGCCGGGGGTTTGATCCCCAGGCCTGCCATGCCAGCCTTACTCCTGGGGTATGCTGACACAGCAATTGAGACTGGGCGTGGTGGCACGTGCCTGTAATCTCAGCTCTTGGGAGGCTATATTTTATTTTTTATTTTAGTTTTTTTTTTTTGTTTTTTTTTTTTTTTTCAGAACCCGGGATTGAACTCAGACCCTTGCGCTTGCCAGGCAAGCACTTATTCTACTGAGCCATCTCCCCAGCCCCTCATCTTGGGAGGCTATAAACAGGTGGATCACTATGAGTCCAATCTAGTAGTGAGACCCCGAACACCCTGTAGACCCTTTCCTAAAACACAAAAAGAAAAAACAAAAAAAACTTATTGGTAAGCAAGTAACTTAAAATTACTGAAAAATCAGTAAATTTGGCAAACAACATGATAAAAAAATTAACCAATCAGTTATGTAAAATGAAGATCCAAATTCAGGCTACCTCATTATATGTTCAATCTTCTTAATCATGTTTCTCTGAAATTAAGTCACACTTCTAAATTTAACCTTGCCTTCAATTGGAAACAGTTTACCTACAGTCTAGAAATTTTTCAATTTATTTTTCTAAAGCCTAACTAGAGAATTATTTGTTGCCTGCTTTGTTTTTTCAATTTTTTCAATTTATTTATTTATTTATTTGGTACAGGGTCTCACTATACAGCTTCGACTCAGAGTGATCCTCCTGTCTCAGACTTCTCAGGGCTGAGATTACAGGGGTGCGCCTCCACACCCAGCCTGGGTGGCCCACAGGGCATGTGGTACCACGGAACCAGAGCCTTGCACTTGCCAGGCAGATGTTTAGACCAATGAGCTATCTTCCCAGTACTATTTGGTTTGTTTTTTGGTAAAGGGGGGGGATTTGAACTCAGCACCTCACGCTTGCCAGGAGGAACTGTACCACTGAGCTAGATCCCTGGTTCGTTTGTTTTTAAGACAGACTCTTGCTATGTAGTTCAGGCTGGCCTTGAGCTCACTAAGTAGCCAAGGCTAGCCTTGAACTTGTGGCAATCCTCCTGCCTAAGCCTCCAAGTGCTGGAATGACAAGCATACTCTACCACATCCAGCATGTTGCTAGCTATTAAGAATACTAACCCCTTCAAATTTTTCTCAGAAATGCTTGAGGTCTTTTCATTAGCTTATGAGCCTTAGGATTTAGGGTACAGAGCACTATGAGAGAACTGGAGGGCAAAGCTACATAGATTCACTGCATTATAATCTCACCTCTCAAAATCTAGGAGAGGAATCTGTCTCTTCAAGTGCAGAACTTAAATGCTTCTACTTTTCTTCTTTTTAAAAATTAATTTATCTGTACTGTACAAAGTATTTTCAGGTTTCCCAAATCCTAGAGATTTTAAAACCACAACAGCCACAATTAAGATAAGCAGTTCACATTTTCCAAAGGTACTCTTAAGCCGTACATGGAAAGAATACTTGATTTCAGGACTCAAAATGTGAAAAATCAAACGTAAACTGAACAAACTGCTCTCCCTGTACAAAGAACATTTAAAAATGACAATGGGGAAACATCAGGCAAGTACAACATGGGTATTAGCCTATGTTTTAGTATGATTTGTACCTCCTGGCTGTTAAGCTATTAACTTTTTTTCTTTTTGTATTTTAGGGAAGTGTCTACAGGGTGTTCAGGGTCTCACTACTAGATCAGACTCCTCGTGATCCACCTGTTTACAGCCTCCCAAGAGCTGGGATTGCAGGCACACACCACCACGCCCAGTCTCAATTGGGTCTCAGCATGCCCTGGGGTGGAGCCAGCAGGGCAGGCCCAGGGATCGAACCCCTGGCCCCTGTGCTTGCTTGCAGGCGCTTTAATCCACTGAGCTATTTGGCCAGCCTGTAAACTATTAACTTTTAAAGTAATCAAAGTAGATTTTCTATGTTAAAAGTGCAGCAGAAATATATGTGCTACTACGGCTAGCAGAACTTAGAGGCTGATGTTTGAGTTGGTGCTGGAAGAGCTCCTGAAGCAGTGCAATAGCACTGAGAAGCCGAGAACTGGAAAGCAGTGCTTGAGCAAGAAACTGGGTGGGTGGGACAGGAGATGCCGACACTGCGGAGAGCAGAACGCTCTGGTGGAGCAGCAAAATATCGGGCAGATCTTAGGCAGGAATAAATAATCATCTCTGTATTCAAAGTGGTTAGGATAGATATATAGTTACATTCTCCTAATGAACAGAATGATTTGTTCTAATGGTGTTTGCAAATAGGATCTCAAGTCCGCATCTTGTACAGCAATTAACCACTAAGAAGAATGTATGCAGTGTGTTAATTATTGAAACTGTCCTAGCGATTTGATTTGAAACTGTCTCATTGCTATTTATCAATAAAATTATGAAAAAAAAATAATGCATCTCTATGTGTATTCAGTTTGAGAGGTTTTTATCCTCCAGAACAACCTGACATTGGATTCAAAAGTCAGTGAAGGTGGGGACTGGGACAGGCAGAGGCGAGACAAGCCGGGCGTGTTGCTCACCACCCCCGGGTCAGTGATGAGGGCGTGGCCTCCAAGGATGCTCTACTACAACAAGCGCATCCAATTTACCCCACTAAAGGCTTAAACAACTATCCGGTCAACTTTCATTGCAAGACTTAAAACTCTTCTCATTTTATTTTTCCAACCCAATATTACTAGATTGTCTTGAACATCAAATTAATTCTTCTACATATCAATATATGTTTCTTTCTCTAGATTTTCCCCTCCTTCATCAGAGAACAAAGTAATGCAACTGACGTCAGCACCCTACACAGACTTATACACTATGACTAGCCAAAGTATGAATTACGTCAATAAACCCTGTCGTAGAGTTCCAAAGTATGAATTACGTCAATAAACCCTGTCCTAGAGCTTAAAGGCAAACTTTCAAAAGCAAACAGAAGAGTGAGGCATAAGTATGTCACCTACCTTCCACAGTGCACACTTGAGCAAGTCAAACAGACCCAGGGGCTTTTGTTGGACCGGCACACTAATAAAAAGAAAAATACAATGTAGCAGTCGTATTGTTATTTCCCAGTTCTCCCCTGCTCTGCAGAGCCGTCCTGAGAGCCAGCTGCGCGGGAGCCTCAAGTGGCAGACCCGCTTTGTGGCCACTTACACAACATGGCTGCCTGACTAAAGCTACACGAAAGGAATTTAAATACACCACCCAGCAGCTATTCATTTTAATTGCTGACTCAGTTCAAACAGTTGAAGCACGAGTTCGGTGCATATACATTTTTCTCCTTTATTATTTATTCCCTTTTACCATGATCTACAACAAGATAACGAAAGCCTAGCTGTCCATTCAAAACATTTTTTTTAAGTCTCGTCTTTTAATCACATGTCGTTGCCATGGAGGTCCTACACCACTATAAGCTACAACTTTTGCAGCTTATGCAGCAAGAGGCACAATCTAACGTTGCAATTAGGAAGAACAATCCTAATTTCCAAAAGAAGGTCTCAATCCACAAAAAAAAATTTCCAAAAGAAGGTCTCAATCCACAAAAAAAAACACCAAAAAAAAAAAAAAACAAAAACACCGAAAAAATAAGTGCTTCCCTGGCAAGCGCAAGGGCCTGAGTTTAATCCCCGGTTCTGCCAAAAACAAAACAAAAGAAGTTCTTAGCTACACAAAAGAACAGCAGATAACTCTTGCTGTTGATGTAATAAGGTCATTATTTTAGTTTAAGCATTACAAGGATAGGGCAGGAAAAAAGGGGTAGGTGCAGAAATTTTTAAAATGCTAGTTAAAACCCGGAATGGTAGCACACGCCTGTAGTCCCAGCACGTGGGAGGCTGAGGCAGGAGGATCGTTGCAAATTCAAGATCAGCCTGGGCTACAAAGTGAGCTCAAGGCCACTGAACTGCATCATAGTGAAACCCTGTCTCAACACACACACACACACACACACACACACACACCCCACACCACGCTAGTTAAAATCTATTGTTTATTCATTCAGTTAAAAAAAAAAAAAAAAAGATGTTCCACCATATGCGGTGGCACACACCTGTCTGTACTCCCCACTATTCAGGAAACTGAGGCAGGAGGATCACAAGTTGGTGACCAGCTTGGGCAATTTTGCGAGACTTTGTCTCAAAGTAAAATTTTTTCACAGTTCACTAGTAGAGTGCTTGAGGCCCTGGATTCAATTCTGACATGGAAAACAGAAAAAGAAGAAGGTCACAATATAGCAATGGTTTTCAAAAAGAGAGCAATCTAGATTCACCCGTAAAGCTTTCCCAAAATCCCTCTGCTCTGCTCAACACAGACACCTACGATGAGCTGCCAAGTCCAGTGCACACGGGCCTTCTCGGGGGAGCAGCTTCCCCAGTGGCACCTGACACAGGGATGGGAAGGCGCCGCGCCCTCACATCGTGGTGAGTCCACTTGCAGGCACGCAGCAGATGCTCAGCAAACACTTGCTGGAAAGCAAGTTTGCATTTCTTAGTTCAGGACACACGCTACTCCAGTATCCGCTGCCTGCTTTCATCTCGCTTGTATTATCACATGGAACAACAGGCCTCTCTCATTTAAGAAAAGTAGACCAAAACTGTAAATAAGGCCTATCAAGAACTGTGAGGCTTTTTTTTTTTTTTTTTTTGCAGAACCAGGGGTTGAACTCAGGCCCTTGCGCTTGCCAAGGAAGTGCTTACTGCACTGAGCTGTCTCCCCAGGAACTATGAGTCTTTTTAATGCACACTGAAACTTTAATAAAACTCTCCCAGCAATATTAAGTATCATTGCTTGACCTGAAAATGCCTGTAATTAGAACCCAATTTTTGTGAAATTACAGGTTGACTGGTGGGTGTTCATTTTGCAAGGCTAGTATCTATTCAGCCAATCTCAAGATTCCAATTTTACCACGCTGTGGGACATTAACTAATTTTGTATCTAGGCCTGCAATCTCGCTCTCATGCTCTTCCTCCGTGCCTACACCTGCTCAGGCCCCAAATGCTCTTGGAGCCAGCTCTATCTTGTTCTGGTTCCCTCGTTAATGAGCCAAATAAATCTTGGGACCAGGCTGCTTCTGCCTGCATCTGAGATGGAGGTGAGAGGAAAGGACAGCACAGTGCTATTCTCTGCCCAGGGCCTCCCTGTCTGGCTGCACAGGGCTTTGCTTTGAACAGTGACACCGAGGGGGAAACTGCCAGCTGGCCAGGCCACCATCTCCATGCATTCACACCTTTCCTTCACTGACAGGGCCACCCTTGAAGACACTGGGGTTTTGGCTCAACCGGGTTCACTTCTATTATACATGCATGTTTGCTGCCTGACAGAAAGACCTAGAAGAATAGGTACCAAATTGCTACAGGCAATTACTTTAGGGAGAGATGTGGGGAACTATTGGCTTATTCTTGTTCTTTTCAATCTCTAGTTCTCTAGTGTTTCAAGAATGTAGTATGAAGTGAGGTGGTGGCGCACACCTGTAATCACAGCACTTGGGAGGCTGAGGCAGGAGGATTGCTGGGAGTTCAAGGCCAGCATACGCTACATATGAGCTCAAGGCCAGCCTGAACTACAGTTGAGACCCTGTCTCAAAAAAGTAAGTATGTGTTAAAATAAAAAATCCAATAAACATGTTTAAAAATAAAAAGTATATTAGAATACAATTATTCATAGCTCGAAGAATAACTTAGAAGACTGAAAAATGGATTACCTGTTTCCAACAAATCTTTTTCCTAAGTATTAAGAAACATGGTAACTCAATCTGAAAAAACTTTTTTATATTATCCTGAAATAATTAGACCACCATGATAAGTTTAGAACAAAGTTTTTAACTATTCGGTTTATTTTTTTAATAATTGTACAGGTCTTTCTACCTCTTTTATAAGAGAAAAAGAAAATTAGAACAAAAACGCTGTTACTTTGCTTTAGTGTGTTTCCTAACAAATTTTCTTTTCTCCTTTTTTTTTTTTTTTGTATTTTAGGGAAGGGTCTACAGGGTGTTCAGGGTCTCACTACTAGATGGATTCATAGTGATCCTCCTATTTACAGCCTCCCAAGAGCTGGGATTACAGGTGCACATCACCACACCCAATCTCAACTGCCGTCTCAGTGCACCCTGGGGGCAGGGCCAGCATGACAAGCCTGGGGATAGAATCCCCAGCCCCTGTGCCTGCTTGCAGGTGCTTTAATCCACTGAGCTATCTGGCCAGCCCTCAAGTATTTCTTTTCCTCCCTTTTATAATTATAAACATTAAAGTACATGCAATTTTGTGGTCTTATTCTTCCACTATTGCTAAATTAATATGTCTCTTCATGATAGTGAATTAGAATAGGGTATCACATGTGTGTACTCTTACTCTTGATAGCTCAATTATTCATTTTTTAATTTCTAAATTTGAAAAAATTCAAGTAACCCTTAAGACCAAGGGGAGGATAGGAAATCAGTGCTTAATGGACATAGAGTTTATTTGGGAATGATAAAAACATTTTGGAACTGGAAAGAGGTGGTGGCTGCTCAACAATAGTAAATGTATGAAATGACAATGAATTTGTTCCTTTTATTTTTGGAGACTGTATCTCACATGATAGTGCAAACTGGCCTTGAACTCACCATGTAACCCAGGCTGGCTACAAACTCAGAGTGATCCTTCTGCCTCAGCCTCCCGAGTGCTGCGATTACAGGCATGCACCACCACACCTGGCTTCCCTTTAAAATGATATGTAAACTGACCTCAGTAAATATGTGGCATTTTTATACAATGGAATACTACTCAGCTATAAAGAATGATAAACTCGAGGCCTTCATATTTAAGTGGATGCCACTTGAAGATATACTTATAAGTGAAATAAACCAGACCCACATGTGTAAATATCATATAGTCTCCCTAGTATAAGAACTCAAAAGAAGAATTACAAATAGAAAGGTGTAACACAATTAAAAGGAAAGCGAGAACTTGAGGATTGGACAATAAGGAGAGGACAAGGAGAAAAGCTGGGAAACATGACAGGGGCAAAGCCATACATTTATACGCACAAGATGGGCAAGGCAATGATCCAGAGAAACATCAGCAGGTTTTTGAAACTAGCAGTTAATTGGTAGGATTCTCACCCTGACTAACTATATATGCTGATATCTGTGAATCAAGCCACTGCACTGAAGATAGCAATGTGTAATAGAAGGGTCACGCTTGGAATGCCTGTCATTCTGGTCTTCCAAGTACGCACTTCTTGTCATGATATACCAATTATTACCATACTGTCTCTCAAGTAAAAGGGTTTTTTTTTTAATAAAGTGTAATAAATTTTTAAAAAGACAAGAAAAAATGTCACAGGACTGTCCTGCTACAATGCTGTATATGGTTAGATTTCTAAATTTCTGTGTAAAAATATGTAAGTGTTTATTCCTATTTTTTAAATTATTTTTATTCATATTCTGTAGGGACTTAAAGTTTAACATATCAATGCTTGATGGAAAATACCTGTTTCATGTTATGCCTAAGAGGTTTGATATTTAGACAGATGGTTAGGGTAAACCAAACTGCATATGTTGCAGGGTAATAATAAGCTTCTCTTCTGGAGGGTTAACAAGCTAAGTTTGCAGATCAAAAGTTGGAGAAAAGGAAGGGCTGCAAGGTCAGCCAACATTTTGGCCCTAGCCTTTCAAGGTCAGTGAAGACTCAGGACATAGGAGAACCCATACTGTAACATCATGTAACTCAGCTGTGCCCCAAATTTTCTGATCAAGGAGATTATGGAGTCATAGAGGAATGCAATTGATGATGTAGAGTATGCCTAAGGAGAGTCACATGGAGAGAAAACATTCTCTCAGGTTTTCACAGAGAGCACATTGGCCAGGCAATGGCCATGATTCATCCACGTGGCTGACATTGACAAAGGATCTACAAAGTGCGGTACAGGGCTACAGGATGAATCCTGAGGGCACTTGACTGACCTTATCAGATACAAAAGTTACATTTCTTGTTATATAGGTCTTGCTTTATCTTGGTCTTAACCATCCAGCAGAAAAGTATAAAAACAGGTATATAAAGTAAAGCCATATTAATATGCTAAGCTGTGAAAGGCTGAAGTCAACAACTTCTGCAGATAACCCACTACTAGTGTGGACTGCTGCACTGTGTTGGATTGTTTTGCTGAATTCACACATCTATAGTATTTAGATGCCAGTGGAATACCCATCTCTGACAGGACTAAACAAAAAAGGGGGATACAAAGGAAGGACCATTCTGCATTTGTATATACAGAATAGTTAGGATAGATATATAGCTACTTTCTCTTAATTCAATGAGAAGAAATGTGTATTAATAGTGTTTGGACAGGATGTCTTGCCTGCTTCTTGTACTATGGATAAGCACTAAGAAGATAACAATGTACAGTGTATTAATTATTGAAACTGTCCTATTAATCAGCTTTGAAACTCTCATATTTGTTTCTCAACAAAATAAAATAAAATAAAAAGACAGGTTCTTGCTGTGTAGTTCAAGCTGGCCTTTAGTTCACTACGTAGCCCACCCTGGCCTTGAATGCCCAATAATCTTACCTCAGCCCTCTCGAGTGCCTGGATTGTGTCTTTTTAATAAATCTAAAACATAAAACAAAGCTCAAGGGTAAAAAAAAAAGAAACTTCACTTTGAGTCTAGAGATCTGATTTCTTCAACCATGAACATTTATGATAAGAAAGTTAGTACGAGACAGGACTGTTGTTCTTGGCTATTTGGATGACAGTATCTCTGAGGGCATAGCTCAGTCAGACCAGAAGAACACTGAAAGACTGGAAAACTATACAGAATAGGGCATGATGGGGGAATGGAAAGCCAGTAAACGGCAGTGGCTTAGGGAATATTCACTCTGCTCATGCACACCTCACCCAATTTAAAAATCTTTAGCGTACTCAGATCATTAGCTTTAAAAACAAAAAGGAAGGGCTGCAAGACAGCTCACTAGTCTAAGCGCCTGCCTGGCAAGTGCAAGGTCCCAAGTTCAATTCCCAGTACCGCATGCCTTGCCAGTTCCAGGCACACTGTGCTGGCCCTGAAACTGGATGTAGTGGTGCATGCCTGTA